CAAGAGTTGAACAGTAGCTCAGATGTTTACAAACAAATAAATTAAAATAAAAAATGAATCTGCTTATATGTACAAAAGTCCAGTTCTACTAAAGGCAATACTGTGTGGTCACCACAGAACCTATAAACAATTATGAATTAATCAAATACATTCACCACCAATATACACTGAATAATAATAATAATAATAATAATAACTTAGAAATTACTACCAACACACTAAAGAAAGCTGTAAATAATATAGCAGACTAGATATAATCATACATAAAAACTGTCCTACTGTCTGTTCACAATACTGGAATGTCAAGAGACATGGAAATGGCACCAGTCAATGAGATTACCCTGAGAGCAAAGCTTTGGCTCCTTCAGCCAATCAAAAAGCATGGTCCACAGGTGGTCCGCAGGAGGTCCTGAGGAGCTGTACGAGTTGTAGGAGTTGCTTGAAGCTGGATGATCAAACCGGAGATTGGCACCCCAAGAACGCACACCACCAATATAAGTGGACTGTAGTAGTTGAGGTTGAAAGAAAAGCTGGAAGGCCTACTTTACAACACGCTGCTTGCAATAAGAACTAAATGGGGGAAAGCTGAAGGACTATATACTACACTCGTAAAAATAAAGGTACCATAAAGGGTTCTATGGAGCGCCAGAAGGACCACTTTTAGTTCCCCAAAGAGCCTTTCAGTGGATGGTTCTTCAAAAGGGCCAAAATGAATCTTCCAACTATCGCTATGAGCTTTGGGGTGGATTTTGGGGGCTGTTTTGAAGTGTTTCTCTTCTAGCAGTAGTAATAGCAACTATACGTAACTATACGTAACTATACATATTATAAACTATAATATGTTTCATTACAGTGGAGAGAATTGATCACTTAAATGACAGAAATTGCCTTGTCAGATGAGGAGGACCAAAAGCTAAATACTAAAGTTAGCAAGGTAGCTGGCTAGCTAGAGACCTTACCTCAGTTTGGCTTCTTTTCTCTTCCTTAAAAAGAGCAATAACTGGCCTCCACCATCATTTTGTTCTCAGTAAAGATGCTGTTTTATAGGATTTTGGACAACAACCATAGTAAGAATTACAAGCTTGCTTGCTTGGTTGTATTTATTAGCCTACAGATCAGTAGGCTAGTAGGCTAGCAGTCAGGATTGGTTGACACCACAGGGATTCCCAATGGTTCTATGATGTATTTGCGTAATCAGTGCTGGGCATTGAAGTGAGAGAACAATGATAAACAAAAATATGAAAATGATATAAAATTCTACCAAACTGAGGATCAGGGATTCGGTGCTGCGATACAGATCACTCTACACCACGACCAATAAACTGACCCCTGGTTTTAGGCCGCAATGTCCATTTGAAGAACCATTTTTGTCAAAGAGATATGCGAGTGTGAAGAACCTCCTCACAGTTTCTTGTTAAGGTTCTATACCTCTTAAAAAAGATCTTCAAGGGTTCTTTAGTAAGGTGAACACTCAAGGAACCATTTGCCTGATTGATGGAGAAAGTGCTGTACACGGTTCTTTATAGAATCTTTTTGATAATGGTTCTATATTGCAACAAAAAGGGGTTCTGCTTTTGTTACAAGATTGACATCATAACGATAGCAGAACCCTTTTGGTGCTTTACAGAACCATATACAAAACGTTCTAGATCAAGAACCATTTCACCTAGCAGAGAACTTTTTAAGCATGAAACGGTTCTATGTAGCACCAAAAAGGGGTTCTGCTTTTGTTACAAGCTTGACATCATAACAATAGCAGAACCCTTTTGGTGCTATACAGAACCATATACAACAGGTTCTAGATCAAGAACCATTTCACCTTGCAAAGAACTGTTTAAGCATGAAACAACTATGTAGCACCAACGTGTTCAGCTATTATTATGATGTCAAGTTTGTAACAATAGCAGAAACCTTTTTGGTGCTATACAGAACCATATATAACGTGTTCTAGATCAAGAAACCATTTCACCATGCAAAAACTATTTAAGCATGAAACAGTTCTATGTAGCATCAAAAAGGGTTCTGCTTTTGTTACACGCTTGACATCATAACAATAGCAGAAACCTTTTTGGTGCTATACAGAACCATATACAATGCGTTCTAGATCAAGAAACCATTTCACCATGCAAAAACCATTTAAGCATGAAACAGTTCTATGTAGCACCAAAAAGGGTTCTGCTTTTGTTACACGCTTGACATCATAACAATAGCAGAACCCGTTTGGCACTATATAGGAGAATACACAACGCGTTCTAGATCAAGAACCATTTCACCATGCAAAAACCATTTAAGCATGAAACAATTCTATGTAGCACCAAAAAGGGTTCTGCTATTGTTATAAGCTTATAAGTGTTCATTGCTTAAATAGAACATTATCTTTACTAAAGAACCCTTCAACAACCATCTTTTTTTAAGAGTGTAGCACCAAAATTTGTTCTATATAGCACCTAAAAGGGTTACGAGCTTGACAATGTAACAATAACAGAACCCCTTTTGGTGCTATATAGAACCCTTAACAAAAAGGTTATATATACAACCATATACAACACATTCTCCATCAATCTGAAGAACCATGTTGCCATGCAAAGAACTATTTAAGTATGGTCAATTTAACCGTTAATGTAACAGTTAAGAGTGTTCATGGTTCCATATAGAACCACGGTCTTTATTAAGGAGAACCACTGAAGAACCATCTTTTTAAGACATTACGGCTTTCTCCCAGACTCATACATCTAAGCCAAGAGCCATTAAGGAACCTTTATTTTAAAGAGTGTAGGACTAAGCATGGAGATGATATTAACTGCCAGTAGACTTAAGCATTGTCTTCGAAGCACTTGTGGCTTTTCACATAGACACAACACGGAAATACGATACTACAGATATAATGTCAAGAGTCCTTTTACTGTTTACAAATAGCAAACAGCATAGAGTAAACAGTAACACTGAGAAACCCCTCTCTCTTTCTCGGCAGAATAGAGAGGGTCTCCTGATTGGCAGTGGCAGAAAGAGAAGAAATAGAAGAGGATAGTCTTCTAGCTTTCAGTAGTATCAACTCAGACTTTGAGAAGCTTTTAAAACAGCCACTCGCTGTTCTTTCACTTGAATAAATACAAGATTTGTACATAATGCTGTACAACTTTCCATTAAAATGTGTCTTGTGTGCCTTGAAATCCTGGAAACACTACCATTTTCTGCTGTAAGCATGTTCTCGAAAGGTCCACGTCTCATTTGTATCAAAGATCTAGAGTAAAAGTGCTGTTTTGGCCTTTCCCAGGTCAGTGTCCTAAATGACCTAGCCATGCTCCGCCCACAAACTGGTCCACATGGTGAAAATAATGTGGGCTTAGCAGAATGCAGACAAAAATCCCATTCAACTAACCCTCTACCCTCTATTGCACAATGTTGCCTCAGGGCAACAAACCTATTTTCCTCATTTTACAATAAATGTATACATATTTAACAACAAAGAAAGGGTGAACAATAAAGAGAACAGTTTGAGTAAGTCAATAAAAAGCATGTACTTGGTCATGTTATTACTTAGTGGACACTTTTAAACCGTTTTTTTTTAATTTATTTTTTTTTTTTTTAACAATCAGCACCAGTTTTGTGCTATGAGAATTTTCAGAAATATGTTTGTTGCCTAGAAGCAACATTGTGAAAATGATGTGAAATGGATTTAGCCAGTCACAAGCCAGGTCTCACAACTTCTGCGAACACAGCTCTGTATCATTTCTTCCCAGTGTCGCAAAATGTTGCCTCAAGGCAACATAGCCCAAAAGGAATGCTGCACACATTTTTTTCAGAATGTTCAGTTAGTTGCCTAGAAGCAACACTGTGTGACAGTGGAATGGATGTAGCCAGTCACAACCCAGGTCTCAACACTTCAGCAAACATGGCTCTGTATCATTTCTTTCCATTGTCGCTCAATGTTGTCTCAAGGCAACATAGCCCAAAAGGAATGCTGCACACATTATTATTTAAAAAATGTTTTTGGATTTAATAAATCAGGTCCATTTTATGCAAGAAAAGTGAATCGAACATTTGTTTTTTTTTAATTGCTCTCATGATGCGTGCAGTAGAGGGTTAAGTCAAACGCAGCGTATGACTTAGCTAGATAGCAGCATTAAAACAGCTGAAGCTGATTAACTTTTTGCTTAGCTTGCTTTGTCTTTTGAGGCCATTCACTTGCCTTCAAAATAAAATCATTTGAAATTAATAACTTACTCTACATGTACAGTCATATGCAAATGTTTGAGCACCCAAATTATGTTTTGTTGATTTTCTAAGTGAAAATAAGGTCACTCGTCTTCTAGAAAAATGTCTTTTTTCTGCAAATTTCAATTTGAGTTTAACATAATGGGGAAAAATATAAAATGCGGCATAACTTTTGAACAGGTCACATTTTATGATTTATTTTATCCCCAAATATGTTAAATTTAGCAAATAAATGATAATTGTGCATCAAAATGTGCAGAAAAGGATTATTTTCATTAAGAAAATCAACAATTTTCACATAATGGACTGGGGTGCCAAAACGTTTGCCCTCGACGCTAAGTGTCCTAAAAATAGCTGAGTTTCACAAAATAATTTCTCATAAGACTGAACTGGATTTTACTTTAACATTCTGTAAAGCTCCAAACTCGCTCCGTAGCTACAAAGAACACACTTGTGGGCGGGGCCTGGATAGTTTCATTATCATAGAGGAGCAAATGGAAGCTGAAGCCACAGCAGACCACATTCTCAGAGACCCCTCATACATATTAGAACCAGTTTGGCTTCTGCAGTTTGCAGGATGATGTAAACTGATCCACTGATCAATCAATAGATAAATACCAGTACAGTGAATCTGTGTGTCTGTAATAGTTCTAACTTAGTGTGGTTCTCTTTGAGATAGTAGCAGATTTTTAGTCTTGAAGCTGTCAGTGTTCTTTAACACCTGTGTCAGGTAAGTGTGTGTGTGTGTGTGTGTGTGTGTGTGTGTGTGTGTGTGCATGTGTGTGTGTGTGTCACCGGGCTGTGCTGGTCTGTTGATTGACAGGTGTGTACAAGTACTTCCAGATGGCGTAGTAATGGATGCCTGCTCCCATGGCAACGAACAGGTGCCATATAGCATGAGCGAAGGGAACCACTCCATCACTTTTAAAGAACACCATCCCCAACACGTAACACCCGCCACCAACCAACAGCTCACACAGACCCGACCTGTCCGCCTGAGAGAGAGAGAGAGAGAGAGAGAGAGGGAGAGAGAGAGAGACAGAGAGAAAGAGAGAGAGAGAGACACAGAGAGAGATACAGAAAGAGAGAGAGAGAGAGAGAGGCAGAGAGAGAGAGATACAGAGAGAAAGAGAGAGAGAGAGACACAGAGAGAGATACAGAAAGAGAGAGAGAGAGAGACAGAGAGAGAGATACAGAGAGAAAGAGAGAGAGAGAGACAGAGAGAGATACAGAAAGAGAGAGAGAGAGAGATACAGTGAGAGATACAGAAAGAGAGAGAGATATACAGAAAGAGAGAGAGAGAGAGAGAGAGAGAGAGAGAGAGAGAGTGAGAGGTACAGAAAGAGAGAGACAGAGAGAGAGACAGAGAGAGATACAGAGAGAAAGATGCAGAGAGAGAGACAGAGAGAGAGGAAGAAAGAAAGACAAGGGTAAGAGAAAAAGAAAGAGGGACAGAAAGATAGAGAAACAGAAAGATGAGAGTAAAAGAAAAAGAAAGAGGAAGAGAGATAGAGAGACAGAGAGAGAAAGAAGAAAGAAAAGAAAGACAAGGGTAAAAAAAGAAATAGGGAGGCAAAGATAGAAAAAGAGAGAAAGAGAGAGAAAGGGTAAAAGAAGAAAAAGAAAGACAGACATGGGTTAGAGGAAAAAAGAAGGGGAGAGAAAGGTAAGAGAAATAAAAAGGGCGGTGAAAGAGAGAGAAAGGCAGACAGAGAAAGAAGGAGAGGAAGGAAAGTGTAAGAGAACAAAGAAAGGAAGATAGAAAAGTTGAACAAAAGTAAGAAACAAAGACAAAAGAAAGAAGGAGAGAAAGACAAGGGTAAGAGGGAAAAAGGGAGGAGAAAAGGTAGAGGAAAGAGAGGGGGACAGAAAAGGAGAAAAAAAGACAGGGAGAGATAAATAGAGAGAGAGAAATGGAGAGAAAAAGGATAGACAGACAAGTAAAAGAAAGAAAGAAAGAGAAGGAAAGAGAAGGAGAGAGAGAGAAGGAAGAAAAAAGGGAGAAAGAGAAAGACAAGGGCAAGAGAAATAAAAAAGGGAGAAAGAGATAGAGAGAAAGAATGATAGAAATGCAAGTAAGAGAGAGAGACATAGAGACAGAGAGAGAGAGAGAGAGAGAGAGAGAGAGAGAGAGAGAGAGAGAGAGAGAATGAATGAGTTCCTGTTCCTCAGAGGAACTGCTTATCGTATTCTCCAGTCCTGTGACGAGACTCTCTGTCTTACCATTGAGAGAATCACCATGGCAGGAAACACCCCCATCGCTGTGTAGCACACCAGCTCCACCACTTTATACCTGCAACATATTCTGAGATCAGACGAGGACGGAAACGGCCCACCACAGTCTAACGCAACCCATTTCACTCTGCTGAGTAGCTGGAAACTTTGGTAGATAAAGTCATATTTAATATAGTCATTTTCCTTTTCTAATGTATCTACAGTTCTATCTCTATGTACTCACACTTCACACCATATTATGTATTTTTATTAGAGATGCACCGATACCACTTTTCCCCTTCCAATTCAGATACCTGATCCTTTAGTATCAGTCAATACTGAGTACCGATACCGCTACTAACTCTAACCTAACTCACTTAAAACTTCTGATATTTATAGAGTTATATTTTAAAATTATTTCATTATGGTAAAATCTATGTTCTGCATCACAAATAACACACTCAGCCTGGTTAGAGGGGATTTACTTGTTGGATTATATTTATTAGTTGCTTAAGAAGCCAATTTTTGTTTTTTACAGTATATAATTAGTATTTACTATTATATCAGTAGTAATAAGAACTATGTTAATATGTAACTATGTACAAGAACAGTCACCATTGTCAGTATGAGCGACTTTCAGTGTTTTTTTCTGTCTTGGTTGAGGTGACGGGCCGCGAGACCCCACTGCTGAGTGATACATCTGACTGACGAAGTTGTACTGCAGGTGAGGCTAGTGGACGCACAGGCCTCGCTACCGGGCTGCTATGATAAAGGATAAATCAAGACTTAAGGCTATCATTACGCAGAGAGTCCGGCGGTTCCTTTGGCTTTTTAAGTAACATTAACTCAGACTTTAAGTGGCCACACAGCAGCAGACGAGAGATTATTGAAAGATGCAGCTCAGCTCAATTTTTTACCCTCACATTTCTGCATTATTAAATAGTTAGAATGTAAACAAAGTCATTCAGAGTGATCAGTTCTAAAGAAACTCGAGTCCAAAGTGTTCACGTTGGTGGTGATGGGAACCAGACGGCTAAAGAACTTACAGAAAGCTATCAAACTAAATGGTTACTAATACGTTTCCTAATTCCTGAGACATTGTTGTATCAAAAGCTTTCAGATGAGATTCACATCAAACCACTCTGAAAGACTGTTTACATCCCAGCGATGCAGAAAATGAGAAAAAAACACTGGGATTCCCCTTCAGTTAACAGCAAATAAAAAAAAAATAATAATCTATTCAGAAACACAGAGAAGCACACGCACCTCTCATGAAAGAAGAAGACATACGCAGTTCCTCCAGAGGCCATCACCCAGACCACCCAGCGCATGTGAGCGGCCCACGGACCGAGCTCTCGCAGGGTCAACCTGCAATGATGACCACAGTTCTTTTTCTGACAGGTCTTGTGGAGGGGTCATTTCAGCAAAATGGACGCTCTAATCTAGAACTCCCATCATCCATAGTGGTCTGTTTAAGATCCGTCTAGCCTAACTGAAACTGCATTTCCCATAGTCCTCCTGAGCAGGGGCAGTCTCTGTGTTGGGCAAAGGTGGGCAGCTGTATATGTAAATACAAATCAGATATACTGAACGTGCTGATATTGAATAACCTAAGGTCATTTTATCACCTTAATTAATTAAATTACTTAAATTAAAACGTCTGAAAAACATTTTTTTTAAAAAAAACAGATGAATGTAGTATGTAAACATTGGTCAAGTTTCAAAACAAAGTTCATATATAGAAATTAAACTGCAAAAACAGCCCATTTGGAAGTCATTGTTTCGGTGATGTCATAAAAAAATAAAAATGCCCATTCAGGGTATATGAGATTAGCCCCGCCCACTCACACTGAAGTTATAAGAAGTGTTTCAACCCTGAAAACTCCTTGTTTCTACACTCATTGTCCATTTTATCAGCTCCACTTACTATATAGGTGCACTTTGTAGTTCTACAGTTACAGACTGTAGTCCATCTGTTTCTCTGCACACTTTGTTAGCCCCCTTTTACCCTGTTCTTCAGTGGTCAGGACCCCCATGGACCCTCACAGAGCAGGCACTATTTGGGTGGTGGATCATTCTCAGCACTGCAGTAACACTGATGTGGTGGTGGTATCTTAATGTGTCTGAGTGGATCAGACACAGCAGTGCTGTTGGAGTTTTTATATAGTAAGTGGAGCTGATAAAATGGACAATGAGCGTAGAACCAAGAGCCCAGAGCCTCAACTATTTTAAAAATGTGCATCCAGGGGGCGCCATTCCTGTCTATTGCTGAGGACCCTGGAACCACCCACTCCTCCCCTTTTCTTGAGTGATGCACTTACCAGGGTGTGTAGGAGGCAGCGATGAAGAAATAGATCACCATCCTGTCACACATGTGGAAGCACTGCTCCACTGATCTAGAAACAGATCCAAAAAGGTCACTACTTCAAACTGGGCAGTCCAATGAGGCTTCAGTTACTCCTACAACCCACACCGACCCATTATAAGTAATGGTTCAGCCAAAACTCTCCCCCATTCCACAAACGCAGCTGACGTTTGGAGTCCAGAATTTTTCTTTATTTATAAATCCCGCCAATTTTTAACATTTCTGCATAATTAAACAGTTAGGATGTAAGGAAAGTCATCCTGAATGGTGTCACATGAAATTCTCCCCTCTGTAACATTGTTTGCAGTGGTGGCGATAGGAACCAGACGTCCCAAGCATTTAATGGCTCTAAAAGCTCCCTCACAGAAAGATATTACATAAAGTGGTTATGAATACTCAGTCTGATGTCTGAGACTGTGTTTTATGATAGTTTCGTGATTAGATTTTGGCCTAAAATGTATTTTTATGATCTCCGTTCATGGCGGAGAGGTACATGCAAGGTGCTCTGAGGCAAAATAGTTCCCAAAGAAAACATTTCGTTCCAGCTTTCAGCTCTACAACCATGTTACCATTATCAACAGTTGTATGCAAAAGTTTGGTCACCCCTGGTCAAAAGACACATTTTGTGTAAATTAAGTGTAAATAAGTTAACACATCCTCTGAAGGATGTGCACTTCTACACATCTTAAATGCACAGTTAATGTTGGTTTGCAGAATTTAACATAAAACAAAATATGGCCTGTACAAAAAATACTGCCCAATTTATATTTCACGTGCATTTTCTCTTTTTGCATTTTCCAATACATTGAACTAAATGAACAGAAACTGTGCAGAAAATGTAATATTTACATTCATATTCTGTAGACCAGGGGTGATCAGTCCTGGGGGGGTATTCCACAAAGCAGGATTTGTCAGTTTAGCTAGATAACTTAAGCCCAAAGTCAAGCCTGTCCAATATGAAAAGAGCTGTGGGACATTCCCGTTGGACAGTCATCATCTTTGGGCTTAAGTTATCTGGCTAACTGAGAAATCCAGCTTTGTGGAACCCTCTGCTCCCCACCAGGTCCTGGAGATCTACCACCCTGGAGAGTTCAGATTCAGCACACCTAGTTTGAACACTCAGAGGTCCAAGAACACCCTCCTTACCTGGATCAGGTGTGTTAGAATAGGGTTGGAGCTGAGCTCTGCAGGGTGGTAGATCCCCAGAACCAGGAATGGGCACTGCAGTAGAGGATGTGTTAACTTAATACTAACCCAGGACTGCATGCTAACATTATTGTGGCAAAAAACAGGATTTGTTCATTCATTCTGATTTACTACCATTCACTTTTTAGCACACATTCATTTTAACTGTCAGTATTCATATGTATGATTCCCTTAGCAACCATTTAGTACATCAATAGACAATTTATGTTGGGATTTCTCACATTTTAAACCATGTTTTTAGCCATATCTGTTTGTTTAAGACAGTTGATCACATGACCAGTAATTCCCTGCTGCCAGTGTTTTCCTAGCTGAGTGCCTATGAAACACTGGCTAATGTTTTATATGTAGGAACCACATCATCAATAATTTATTTGGAGCAGAATTTGCATCTGAATAAAACAGTGGATCTAGCACAGTGGCCTGCACACTTTTTATATCGGGCACATCCTCAACCAAGCTGTCTCTCTGGATAAAAGTGCAATTTGATAGTCCCCTGATCAAATTACATATTTTTATGAGTAAAGTAAAAATACAGACAACAAAACTACAGACAGCAAACCCAAACATGTTATTTTCATATACTGCATAGTGCTCTTTTTTATTTATTTGCTGAATTTAACACATTGAGGAAAAAAAAAACCTACATTTTAAAGGTGCACAGGCCACATTTTATGTTTTATGTTCCCCCAATATGTTAAATTCAGAAATAAACAGTAATCATGCACTGCAACGTGAAAAACGAAATGGAAAAAGCAAAACATGGGATGCCCAAATTTTGCATGTGACTGTATAGATTAAAATATTTAATTTACTTTCACAATGTTTTTTTCTATCAAGCTCCTGCCCCCAAAAATTTCTAGGCATTTATTGTGTTAAAGTACAAAAATATGTGCTTTTAGATGTGCTCAAGTATAAGATGTAAAATATTGCGAGATACTCCAGCAGTCCAACATTTCTCCTTTTGTGGTTTCAGTTTAGGAAATAGTCCCCACAACCTTACAGCATTTTCTGTGATTCTGAAAGCTTGTCTGGGCCTAGTACAGTTGCTAAGCTATGACTGGATATTAAGGGAGGGATTTAGTGAAATGTGTGCTTTGACTGGTTTGATTATTTGTAGTTTATTTTGGAAAAATCTTTTTTTTACTTTACAGCAGGGCTGTAGCCACGGGTAGGCCTGCCTACCCAGATTCATCATCGGCCTACCCAAGAAAATGGAGAAAGAATATTCATTAAGGCGATTTTTTTTTTTTAAGAAAACTCAATTTGATTTATTTTCTGTGATTTCTGTGATTTATTTTCTGTGTCATGCATTTTGGTCAATCCAGTTTTAGTTAAAAGATGGGAAAAAGTGAGATTCCACCCCTGACAGAATACAATATCAAGATTCTACTTATACCAAATTAAAATTTGGTACTTCCAGTGCTCTTTTACTACAAACACGGTTACAAGCTGTGTCAAAATGTCAAATCACATGTCTACTTCAATGCAGCGAGTCATCAAAGGTAAGAAATAAGTGGTCCATAAACATTTTTCATGCTTGCTACTGGCGTATGCCTTAGCATATGATGATTAGGTTAAATTTTGCTGTTTGCTGCCTTGTTTTTCCTCATTTTAGCACTCAATCTCAGCTGTCTGATTTGAACTCGGTTATGTTGTCTTCATTGAGCAAAACTTGTGTCTGTGGTAAGCGGATGCATGCTTTATAGTGAAGGGTGCTGCAGTTTTGGTTGCATTTACATGAATCTAGTTTTCCAGTTGATTGGTATTGTTTTGTATCATCATAAGGTTGGAATATGTAGGGTGATGACTGCACTGCTCTCAGCAATATGTAATAGCCTGATGTTATACCACAGTGGGACATTAGCACATTCAAAAATGGTATCTTCCAAGTTGGCATACCCATGTATTTTTGCCTATGCCAGTGATATCACAGTATCTTACAGAAAGCTGTCGGATACTTTACTGTGAAATGCAGTGGAGTGATTTAAAAGTCGTTTCTTAGAAAAACTGTATAAAATACTGTAAAGTACAGTAATGAAGTACACACAGCTACAGCTAAGGCAACCTTTGCAACTGTTTTCCAGCTTACGCCAAAGCTTTAACCTCAAGGCTCTTGAGGACGCTGTACATAAAAGGGTGGGCTGACTGGACAATGGGTTAGGTTACATTATTAGCTTTTATGTATAATATAACCAGGTATTGAGCATGAGGAGCACTAATCTATTGGTTCTTGGTCACTATTGACTACATAGTTCACTTTATAAAGGATCAAGAATAACCTTGTTGCATTAGAGCCATAAATGTGTAAAAAATGTATACAGCTAGTACCGTAGATGGCTCTTCTTCCAGGTGATGGTGTGAAATGCTGTCGAAATGATGAAAAGGCTGGACAACCCTGCACCATACAAATACGCTGCAATCTCCTCCCAGTGGTCATCGGACAAGAAGTACAGCAACACTCCGCCCACGATACTAGGGATGATCCAGAGCTGGAAAGACGAATGCAGTTACAAAACGTCCACACAGTATATGAACACCAATCAGCCATAAAACTAAAACCACCTCCTTGTTTCTACATTCATTGTCCATTTTATCAGCTTCACTTACCATATAGGTGCACTGTGTAGTTCTATAATTATACAGTGTAGTCCAGCTCTTCCCCCTTTTCACGCTGTTCTACAATGTCAGGACCCCCACAGAGCAGGTTTTGTTTTGGTGGTGGGATCATTCTCAGCACTGCACTGACACTGACATGGTGGTGGTGTGTTCGTATGTGTTGCACTGGTGCGAGTGGATCAGACACCTCAGTGTCACTGCTGGACTGAGAACCAAAAATATCCAGCCAACAGCGTCCTGTGGGCAGCGTCCTGTGACCACTGATGAAGGACTAGAGGATGACCAGCACAAACTGCAGCAACAGATGAGCTACTGTCTCTGACTTCACATCTACAAGCTAGACCAACAGGGTAGGAGTGTCTGATAGAGTGGACAGCGAGTGGACACAGTGTTTAAAAACTCCAGCAGCACTGCTGTGTCTGATCCACTTGTACCAGCGCAACACACACTAACACACCACCATCAGATCAGTGTCACTGCAGTGCTGAAAATGATCCACCACCTGAATATACCTACTCTGTGGTGGTCCCGTGGTGGTCCTGACCATTGAAGAAAGGGGGCTAATAAAGTATGCAGAGAAACAGACAATGGGTGTAGATACAAGGAGCTGGTTTTAAAGTTATGGCAAACACACTAAACCAGGGGTGCACAACTCAGGTCATGGAGGGCCGATGTCCAGCAGAGGTTAGTGGTCCCCCTACTGCAACACACCCACTAAACCTGCCAGTTTACAGATGAGTTGAATCAGGTGTGTATGAGCAGGAAAGTCATCAAACTGTGCTGGACATCAGCTGCCAGGAGCAGAGCTGTGCCCCCCCTGTAATAAGCTAATAAGACTGCATGCATATAGCTCACCGCATGTGTGGCACAATTAGCTGCATGTTCATACTCCGTTGGCTGATATCTCTTATTAGCCGGCGCTCGATTGTTCATAAATCTAAAAAGATGGACAAAAAATAAACAAATGAAACACAAAGTAATGGTCACTGCAAGCGGTCCCCAACATATTCATGCAATGCAAAATTCACCCAACTCAGAACAATGACTTCTCAGATGTGCCCTTCCATTTTGTCCTGCAAGGTCTTACCTTAAAGTCCAAATCCACCAATATTTTGCATAAATACATGTACTTGAGTAAATGTAACTAGTCTCTACCCTCCTCTGTCTGTACATTATATTTAAAAATAGAAAAAAAAGCTTATTACACATGGTTATACACATGGTCCATCATATCGGCTTAAACATCAAAAGCCATTGCCTCATCTCATGAACTTTCACTTCACACCAGCATCGTTTCACAGCTATTAGCTGCGCGCTAAAAGCAGTTTAACAGGAAACGTTTCTGACCACACCCATGCACATTCGTATAGGTTATGTGTCTGCGAAGGGACTGAAAGTGACAAAACCAGAGAATTTCTCTTTTCTGGGTTGATCGGCCAGCAGAGGGCGCTCACAAGAGAGTTCACAATGAATGAGGGCCAACAGAGCAACATTTTAAAAGCAACCAGCTCAACAGTTCAGATGTCAACCAAGTCATTCAGAGTGGTCTGATGTAAGATGATGCATTCTAGGGAAGCTCACTAACATACAAACGTCTTTATAGGGGTGGTGATAGAAACCAGGGGTCGCCATGACTACAGCACCAGTATAGCCACTTTACTTACTATCCAAAACCACCAGTGAACCTACACGAGTCTTGTGAGTTTTATATGTGATGAGCCATTAAACTCTTCAGACGTCTGGCTCCTATCACCACCACTGTGAACACTTCTGACTCCAGTTCTAGAACTTTGTAGCAGTGTTTTGTTTATACTCTTGACATTCGTCGAACTGCTTAAAGGAGAATTGCAATCATTTTTCAAAATTCCCACATAAGTAAACGGCGAAGAAAGTCATTCAGAGTGGCTTGATGCAAAATGCTCCATTCTGAAGAAACTTACTGAGAACTGTTACAGTGGTGGTGAACTGTCTGAACTGTTCGCAGTGGTGGTGATAGAAACTAAACGTCCACCTCTAAAAGCTCCCTCACATAATCATATTACATAACATGTTTATGAATACACTGCCTGATGTTTTACGGCAGTTTTAAGAGTGCTGTGAGGGGAAACAGACCCCAAAGACATCACTGAGGACTCTCACATGCGCCCTCTAGAATTTTGGATTCATATTTTTTGGTATAAAGCAGTGGTCACCAACCCTCCTCCTGCAGAGTTTAGTTTCAACCTGCATCTAACATGCTGCCCCTCCTTACACAACTCTTATGCATCTGATCCAGCCAATCAAGGTCTTCTGAAATTAATTAGCTGAGGCAACTGGCAGAATGTGGTGACCACTGGTATAAAGGGACAAATGAGGTGATAAATGAGTGGTAGGTTCCTCCTACATTGGCTCTGCCTTCACCTCCTCACCACTTCACAGCTATCACCCTACGGTAGTGGTCTTCAACCCTGGACACCTGCTCCAGCTAATCAACCTCTTCCCAGGTCCCTGATTGGCTGGATCAGATGTATTAGAGTTAAGTAAGGGGCAGGGCAGTTTATCCAGGACCAGGGTTGGAGACCACCAACAGCAATTTTACAGGCAAGTATTTCTCACTCAATTCCTTCATAAGGCGAACAATAAATGAGATCAAATCATTTTGAAAATCTATGAAGCACTGCATGCCGTAACACCTGTCCAGCAGGCCAGCGGAGTCCACTAATGCCAGTCATGTGATCGTGGGACCAGCCGGTCACGTGACTAATGACTAAGTCCTGTGACTAGTCGAATTAAGCTGACGCTGCCACGCACGACTGTTCCCCTTCAGTTGCTTGGCAACAGCTGGTAACCATGGAGAACCATGACAGAGGATTCTAGCATCCTTTACCCACGTCTCCGTGCAGGGGTGATGTCACTGTTGCCATAGAAACGCAGGATCCGCAGAGCCTGAGGCAGCAGGAGCGAGTTTGCTGGCGAATCTCAACGTAATATGTTTCCTCTCACTCCACTCAATACTTTCGCTCAGGACAGCCAGCCCCCTCCAAGACCACCCTCATTCAGGAAGGAAGTTACCTTTAACGCCTTCCACACACTTGTGAGTGTCCTGCAGTCCTCTGCAATGTTCCGCAGCTTCTCAAAAATGCAGGGCTGCTCCATTCCCCCCCCATTTAACACGGATATCACTTGTACTGCACAGATGAAATGCGTCACATTTCTATGTCGCTAGTTCTTTTTTCGTCTGTTATGGAAAGCAGCCACCACTAACTGCTCCCCGCGGTGTGAATTTATACAGTGCGAATGTACAGGACAAGTCAGTTTATAGGAAACGGAACACAATGTCATTTATAGGAAGTGGAACAAAATGTCAGGAGATTTCAGTGGAGTAGAAGAAGATTCACTGCCAAAAAATGCTATCCTGGCCAGTAAAAACAGCTTAAATCTAGTCAATATATCTAAATCTAATTCTCATTATAGGATTGTAGTAAGAACGATATAAGATTATTCAACTTATTTCTTAACGTTTTTCCTTGTTTTCAGTCATTTTATTCTAAAAAAAGTCTTACTCTATTCTTCATTTCATTAGATACTGCAACATTATCTTCCCATAGAACACAATTTAAAAGCATCAGTTTCACAAAAAAAAACAAACTCTTACAAGTAAAATGTCTAGAAATACCTTAATTTGTAATATTATTAAAGAGCCCATATCATTGAAAAACAAATTGTCTTCACTTTTTTTTTTAAATTAAAAAAAAAGTTTGATGTAGTATCCAAAAAGTGGTGTGATAAAGTTTCAAAATGTACTGTTCACCACAGACTCAACAGTCTGTACATGGTAAACTAAGCTGCAAAAAGAGACTGTTTTGAGTAGCATTCAGGCTGTTTTTTTCCCTTATTTTTGCAGATTTACACCTTTTGCAAAATTATGATTGACATGCTTCTCAGCCAATCATAACCCTCTCTAAGAACTACTTCCTCCAACAGAACTAATCTTCATTGAGAAGATTTGGCATTGGTGGTAGTAAATTAGTCTAGATTATTAGGCAAAGAAATGCTAAAAAGGAAGAAGGTGTCCTTCAGATGCTCACCCACTTGATCATCTAGAGTCTAAATGTTTGGAAATGATTCTAAATTGTTTATAATTTCTTTCCCAAAGCTGAAAAAGTTTTGCAATAAAATCTGTGGAAGACCACACCTCATAACTCAACATCAAAACTATTCACAGGCTAAAAGGTAAGACACACTCATATATAAAATTTGAACAGCCCTGGTCAAATGACATGTCTTGTTGATTTTCTTGTTGAAAATAAGTTACATATCCTTTACAATGAGCTAACTTAATTATGGCATTTGTCTGCTATTTTTAATGCAGAACTTCTATTTATTTGATGATTTTAACATATCGGGAGAAGTATAGTAACTGTAACTAAGGGAGACGGGACTTGTCCGGTTTTCAAACACTGCCAATTAGCAAGCTTTCCAGAAGAAAATCACATGTAGGCTTACTTAAGACCAGGCTTGAATGAGGTCTTCACTGTAGGGCAAAGTATCATCTGAGTAAAAGAGAAAGAAAGGTGATGTAACGTCATACACTGTTATGATAATGTAGGTCAAAAAATCCCAAACTAGTCCTAGGATCTGTTTGTGTTCTGTTTCAGTTCCCAATAAATTAAAATAAAAGGCTGTATATTGTAAAAACATACCATTTGCACTAACTGTTTATTTATTTGTTTGTTTACTTCACTCATCTGTTAACCTTATGAATGCAATCTGGTAACACTTACTATTTCTTCTATAATGCATTAGTTACTTATTTAAAGTTAATTAGGATGCATTCATTTGGATAAGTCCAACACACTGAAACTTTCCTGCATTCTTAGCAGTTTTGTTGGTCTGTACCAGCAGAACATACACTAACACACCACCACCACATCAGTGTCACTGCAGTGCTGAGAAAGATCCTCATCCCAAATAATACCTACTCTGTCGTGGTCCTGTGGGGGTCCTGACCACTGAAGAACAGGGTGAAAAGGGGCTAACAAAGTATGCAGAGAAACAGATGGACTACAGTCTGTAACTGTAGAACTACAAAGTGCTCCTATACAGTAAGTGGAGCTGATAAAATGGACAGAGCGTAGATACATGGAGGCAGACTTAATGAAAGTAGCCTGAATGGTCTGAGCAGCAAATGGTATGTTTTGAAACTTTAGCAGTGTTTACATACTACATCAAACTCTTGTGTCAAAAAAAACAAACGAAAAAAAAACAATGAATACTTGGTTCTCCATTACACAGACTAAATTAAGGACTAATTTATGTATCAGCACAATATATCACTGTTGTTAGAAAAAACCTTGTATCTCCAAAATTTTACAGGAGAAGGAAAAAAACCTACTTTACTTTTAATGTAAGTCAATATAACCTGACTTTTTTCCAAATCATTTTGGGTCATTTCTTTTGGTCTGTTCATCATTAAATTTACCTACAATGTAAAGGGTGATGGGTATTTTCAAATTATGTCAAAAACTGAAAAAGGTTTTCTTCTGACAGAAGCAATACAGTGATCTAAAAATGCAATCCAACAAAGCATGGCAGAGCACTGTAAAAGGAGACCACTTTCATAATACAGTGGCAGATACTTCCAAATGAGCCACCAATTAGGGATAATGTTGTCTGCCCTGCCTTGCAATAATGCCATTATGGTCCACCACCAACTCATTAGCATCATTTTCAGCTTGAAGAATCAACTCACTCCCCCCAAACTAATGCAGGGAAAAGCATTCACTCATGTCTGGAAATGCTTAATCTTATAACTGTGTCATCCACTCATTTTAGAATAACAGGAAACAATATCACTACATAAAAGCTAAAAAAAAGCTTGTGTGAAGTATCTGTCAGTGCACACTCAGTTAGTCTACACTCACACTAGCCTCGCATCACATGTTCTAATTACTATTATTAGTGACCCAATACAGCAGCCTACATACTGTGACCTAGCATATCCACACAAAACCAACCAAAAGATAAAGTACCATGCAGAAACCTGAGAATACACTTCATTTATGTAATTTCCAGTCAAAATTGGCCAGTTGAAGACGTTCCAGGAGATATTTCTGGCGAGGTTACACAAAATATTCCACTTCCATAACGAAAGAGAAAATTAAAGGAATAATGAGTGAAAAAACAAGAGTTTCCAAATTTGGAGTTCAAAAATGATTAAAAGTGTAGTGAAAATGGGGCTCCTAATGACCACCTGCAAGACCTGGTAGACCGGATAAACAGCACTTTCATCTTTGAGAGAGAGGAGAAAATCAAGCTGCTTCAGATCTGAAACATCCACAGGTGTTTCTGTCCATCCTTCCACTGTGAGAAGACGACTCAGCGCTATGGGCCTGAAAGGATGTGTAGCTGATCAAGAAGAACCTCAGTGAGAAAAGGAGACACATCAAACAAAGAAGCTGAACAATGGACTGACCACCCCAGAGTCCAGACCTCAACACCACTGAATGTGTTTGATTACTTCAGAAAATGATCAACCAACTTCTAAGACTGAACTGTGGAGGTGTAGAAAAACATCCCTGCAGATTTCTTGTAAAGAGTCTCCTGCAAAGAATGGAAGCTGTAATTAAGGCAAAGTTCGGACACTAAATACTAAAATATGTGATATTATGTTTAGCTGTTGAGGGTTTTGTGTAATTTCATATTAAATATGTTTTTTCCGTTAAAAATGTAATTGCATTTAATGACCATTATAAATAAATGAACGGTGGTCTCTGACACTGAAATTGACAAAACAGCAAAACCAGTTTTAGGGACCCAAATGCAGAGACAAAAATATTCACCAATATTTGTGCCATTATTATATACAATCTTAATGTAAAATTTAGAAAAAGGACAGAATATATATGATAATTTAACATCACTTGGGATGGTTTTACTTAATACAAAATATAAAATATATTATTTTTTTACACTTCTCACTTCCCTACTAGTTTGGTCACACTGCTAGCTATCATCCTAATATATAAATAATTTTATGCTAAAAACAATTCTGTGTACATGTTAAAAAGGTAATACATTAAAATATGTTAAACAATGACCTGAGAATGATGTCACTCAGCTACTTCTTGCAAACCATTTTGAACCTAAAACTGGACGCAGTTCTAAGAGCTAATCGGCTAACCCTGAGGTAATTTTTACACCATATGTTAACCACATCACCAAAACCATTGAAAATTCTGAAAACATTGAAATTGTTTTTGGGGGAATTTTGGACTCCTTTAACTCTATATTGAAGCATGCATCATTATTCAATTCTGAATGCCTAATTATAGAGAGGAATTTGCGCCAAAACGAAAAGCGAAACCTCCACTACACTGTTTTTACATCGCTTGTCCTCGTTTTGTACTTCAAATGTACTGAAATGCAACCAAAACAGTGAAGTTAAGTAATATCAAGCATGCATTGCATTTCATATTTTGGTAAGACTTTACTGTAGGGTGCTGTTCATCAGACTACCTACATAAGCTTGTCATGACAACTGACATAACACTACATAAATGTCTAGAAATGCTTTTTTCCAGTGGGCGTCATTTGTCATAAAGGCTACTTTAGCTAACATTGATGGCAAATGTAACCTTTATAACGAATAATGTCTATTGGAATAAGCATGTATAAACAGCCCCAACAGCAGGGGTGCACAACTCCAGTCCTGGAGGGCCAGTGTCCAGCACAGTTTGGCAGTCAAACATATTAAGCCAAACAATTAAACCTGGCAATTAACAGATGAGTGTAATCAGGTGTGTTTGAGCAGGTAAATCACCAAATTGTGCTGGACACCAGCCCCCCAGGACCGGAGTTGTGCACCTACAGCCCTACAGTAAAGTGCAACCCACATTTTTCCACTGTAGTGACTGCTCTTCAATTTGGCATGATTTGGCTCTTCATACAAATCACTACCTTCTCCATCCAACGACGCATTTCCCAGAGGCTCTAATCTACACAATGCACATTTCCACCAAATGTGACATCCCATGCATGTTTCATGCCCACATAACGCTCTATAATGCTCATTCATTCCACCACCTACAAAACAATCCAGATGCATTTTTGGTCGGCTGCACTACCAGCATGACTGGTGACCATCAAAGCCAGCATATGGCATGTTCTGTATGCTGGTGTGCTGGTCAGCAGCAATGGAAGTTGAAAAGATGGTCAACACCAAAACCAGCATATGTCATGTTTTTGGATGCTGGTGTGCTGGTCAGCAGCAATGGAAGTTGGTAAGCGGATCAACACCAAAACCAGCAGGGCTGACCAGCAAACCCAGCACCGGACCAGCATAAACCAGCTTAGACCAGCATGCAATTTATGGGTTCAGTCGCTGAATGAAGGGGAGGACAAAACGTATCCATGCACCGTTTTCCTTCCACTCTCCAACAACAACACGCACCCAGAGCCGCTTTATCGCGTGTTCCTCCATACAAACAACGCTTGGTGAACATCTACAGATGTTTCGCACGGATGATATACCGGACCCCTGAACCGAGAAGGAACGCGCAACGTGAATGACCGCAGATCGCCACACCGTGTTCCAGCGGTTCAGCTCCACTCACCTTACCAGATTCATTTAAATGGGCTTGAGTGCAACTGTTGCACAACCGTATCCGAATAATGAGACAAAGAAACGAAGCCGTGGAGCTTTTAATCCAGACTCGAGGTCGCGGCGAATCCGGGCCAGCCTGGATCGACCGCCTCTGGGAACATTTATCAGTGGACGCAGATGATGGTCATGAAAACATGTCAGTTGGAGGCAGCGTCCGGAAGTCTTCTAGAGGGAAGGATGTGGCGGTTTTCCTATAGAGACGTGATGTCAGCAGCTTCCTTCTGTATTTGGTCTGGGCCGAATCAGAAGCCCGTGTTTGGACGCTGATCTGCTGGGGGTTGAGTGATTCACTCATGCCCTGCTGTTCATGCTCCACTGCTCGGGGGAATCCCTTTGTCTACAAGCCTCATGCTTCACTGGCTTATTTGGATTCTCCAATCAGCTGAGCCAAAGCAAACAGCCACTCTTACACTCTTCTGGACCCACCATTTGCATTAAAACCTAATAGTTTTGCTTTCTAATATGAATTGGCTCAATGGTTTCCAGTAGAGACCACTAGTTTTCTGTAGAACACCCTTGGATCCCATCTGGAATCAACCACTGGCCATATGTGAAACCATTAGTGTTCTTTCCATTGAGATATCAACCTATTAAAAAAGCCAAAACACAAAAACCATCAGCAACCAATGGAAACACTTAATGGCTTCATTATATGAAGAGATCTCTTATCTCGATTTAATACAAAATAGAAGCACCTACACTGAAATTTTTTGAAAAAGATGCTTCTTCAAGGGTTTTTGGAAAGAAAATTGGCTCTGTATGAACCACAAACACCATTAAATGGTTATTCAGATTGGAATGCGTTGCATGGGTCTATATAGAACCTATTTGAAAAGGGTTCTTCTGTTGTTACTATGTCTAGGTTATAACAATAGAAGAACCCTTTTTGGTGCTATATAGAACCATCTACAGCTCATTCTCCATCAATCTGAAGAACCATTCCACCATGCAAAGAACCAATCATACAAAGGGTTCTTAGAGTGTTCACAGTTCTATATAGAACCGTTTTTCTCTACTAAAGAACCATCTTTTTAAAGAGTGTAGTGCTTGTAATTTGTCATTCATCAAATATACTCTAAGCTGTAATCTTGGTTTTAAGATGTTGATTTATGGCCTATGTCCTGAATTTCCCCCCACATTGCCTGCATTTGTTTGGGTTTGTGTCCAAAAAAAAACATAATTCATTTTTACATGATTATTATATTTGCATAGTTTTACTTACCCTCAGTTTGCATCCTTGTTGGCTGTAACAAGCAATTCACCATATTTCATGCTGCTAAGTGTGTTGAGACCTTCTAGGTAGGTTAAGACACAACTAAACCTAAACTTGTGCTGCTTCTTTTTCATTAAACATAGCCATAAAGTTACACATGAAAAAGTATTTATTCACGCAGGTAGCTACTTAAGGTAGTTGCATGGAACCACTTCACATAACATTTAAAGTCTACCATGCATGCTATTGATGTTTGAACAAAGTGTAAATTGTACCACCTTACTTTGGACCAGCTGGTGTAACATAATTCTCAAGAGAGTAATTTCTCCAGCACTTTAAAGTGACCACATGACTCCCATGCAGTAAGGCTCTAAAGCATTAGCTCAACTCCAAAGCTTAGTTTTTCCACCATGTATTGTCTATAGTTTTGGCCCATCAGCTACCAGCTTACTATTAAACATAATGGTATGAAGACAAATTGGTCATTTTTAAAACCACACAAAATGGTAAATTTTCAAGACAATTAGCACTCAACTGTTTTAAAAAAAGACATTTCTAACTTTGAAGTGAGATCTCACCCCACTGGCAGATACTTATTCAAAGACAACTTGTTACAATTTTCAATAAATTTAAGCAAACATCAATCTTTCATTCTGGGTAACACTTCTTTTAAAACTCGCTACCTTTCTTTATGAAGACGTCAGTAGCAGAAACCTGTCAGGGCTTTGGTCATGGTATTGCATGGCCTGGTCCATTCTTTAGGACACCAACTTTAAGACACTGATTTTTCCCCCCAATACTATGAACTTTAATCAGCACTGAAAAATTGAGCAGGTGTACAACCTGTACAATTCATAAAATTAATTCATGTGAAAACTTAATCCATGGGAACTAATTCCATCAACTTCCACTTTGCATGAGATTTGAGCTGAGCAAATGAACTGGACCTCAAGTCTTTCTAAACAGACCCAATCTCAGTTTAACCCTTTACTTGCTCCAATCTGACAGAGTAAAGCATAGCACCCAAATTTAGTGAGTTTCTACAGACTCAAGACGGCACATTGAAACCTCAGACACATTACGTACAGTGACAATTTATTTCATAAAGACATGGGTCATTTTAAGTATTACACTGAACAACGCATTCAAGTGTTGTCTATGCTAAAAAGGGCTACGTGTTTGTCGTTTTTCTGGTAAACCAAGAGTCTTCTTCACCAGCAACACAGCTTGGTTCCCATCTTGCTTCAGGAACCCCCACCTGCAAAGGCAAAATTAATTTAACAGCATTCACAACAAAACCAAAAGTAAAGCCTGCATCATGTCCATCAGGCCTTGAAATCAGGGCAGCAATCATGGGTGTCAGAAAACGTCTTCAGTGGCTTGTTTACACTCAAGCTTGTGCAGAGGACTTGAATAGCATTACTGAAGAATCAATGCTTATTTTCTTCTCATCTCCGTTACACTGGTTTCTATTTTGTTTCATGGTCTAGTTGATAACACCCAGTCAACAATGCTGAACCGCTGCATGTTTTGTTGGTGTGCAAATCTGTCAATTTTTTTTAAAAAGTAACTGCTCGTTTTACAGGTTAATTCATTTCTGGGTGATCTGCCCGAATATACAGTTCTACCGTGAACTGCTCTGAGCCCCAGATCTTTACATGCTTAGCCAAAGCATCTTACCATTTGTACCACTATAGAGTGGAAGGAAAAGGGTTTCTGCTTGGAAATTTCCACCAGGTGCATGATGGGGAATAATCTCAAAAATCTAGTTTGCAGTCTTGCAAATAGTGACCCTGCAAGATCGCCAGTCTTTGCAAAAATCAGTCTGCGACTAAATTGACTCTAGTTGCTAACCACACACTAGAAGACTTTGAAAAGACTTTTGAAAGACTGAAGTCTGACACTCTCACATCTAAAGACAGTGTCACGGTTTTTAGTCAGAGACTGATTTTGCAAAGACTAGGAATCTTGCAGTGTCACTGTTTACAAGACTGCATCTAGATTTTTGAGATTATTCCCCATCATGCACCTGGTGGAAATTTACAAGCAGATAAACACTTTTCCTTCCACTCTATAGTGGTAGAGATGAAGATACGTTGGCTGGGTGTGTAAAGATCTGGTGCTAAGATTAGTTCACTATACAACTGTATACTCTGGCAGATCATCACCCAGAATTTTAATTAACCTGTAAAATGTGCAGTTACTCTTGTAATTTGATAAAGATTCACATCAGCACAACATGCAGCAATTCAGCATTGTTGACTGGGTGTCATGAACTAAATGAACAAACAAAATAAGAAACCACTGTAACAAAACAGAAAAAAAAAAATTGATTCAATAATTCTCTCTCGGCACGTTACTATTCGCATGAGCCAAGACATAAAACTTCCGATAATATTAAACATTTATCGCAGCGATTTTGTCGCAGCATCAGGACGAGAAAAAGACTGACTTAAGACGACCATCTTGACCACCTTACACCGAATGATCGCGGCGCAACTCATGATTCATGATTTTACTCCTACATGGATATTTGTCTGCGACAGTGAAATCACTTGAAGTCGTTTGGTGTAAGGCCGGCAATAGCATTAAAGACACTTAAGACAGCCATCCTGACCACCTTACACTAAACAACTGAGATGATGCGAGCAAGACGCTCATGACTGTATTCCAACTTTGGAAATTTGCCAGTGAAAATGCAAGAAAAGTCATTTGGTGCAAGGCCGGTATTACTTGATTACATAATATAGCCAACAATACAAGCTCCTCACCATTAACTGGATGCATCAGTCAAAGGAGGCACTCCGATAAACCTGTGAACACAAATTCGAATAAAATTAAAAACGTCTCAATACTTCAAGAATTAAGCATACTCTTTATTGGAAGACAGTTGCACAGCATTAGAATGCATCAGGGAGAGAGTTTATCATCAAATCCTTTGACCAAGGACCAGACAAACAAATCCTCATCACTGCATTTCACAGCCATGCAGACGTCCTACCATTTCTAATTCTACTGAAGCTATGAAAAACCAGGCAAAGTGCAAAACAAAGAAGTGTTCAGATTGCATTGTTTATATTTTTTGATATATAATCTTGCACTGCAAGGAGCATGCACGCAAAACCTTGCTTTACCATGAAATTAACAGCCCAACAACTCTGCACAGCACATCACAGCAACCTCACTCACCTCCTGCATTGCGTGCCTCCAGCCACAGCCTTTCAAAACAGGAACCTGTTCAAAGAACACAAACATAAGCCTACAATCTGCAAACCTACAAAACACATGCTAAGCATTAATCTGTTTGGAAAAGACAAACAATCTGAGCATCAAGTTTACACTAATAAGTAATAGCCACAAGTAGCTTCATGAACCTCAGACTGTAATTCATAATCAGGCACTGCTGTTCAGTGCTCATACGAGGTGTCAGAAAAAGTAAGATTAGTCATCAGCGGTTCAGAAGCGTTTTTTTTTAATATTAGGGTAAAAAAGGCAGCACTGCAATAAAAGATGAGGTAACTCACCTTCATTTGAAGCAGCCCTCATCTATTGCATAGATGGGTTCTCTAAAAGGCCCAGCAGGCAGAGCGCTACTAGTCTTCTAAACGATGCTAATCACCTCAGGTACGGTTACCAGTGGCCACAGCCCTGTCCATGCTGCAAACAGGCACCTGTTTGGAGAAAAACAAGCCTAAAACAATCTGAACATGAACTGTACGCAAATAAGCACTAGCCAGAAGTTCAAGCAGCTTCATGAACCTCAGAGTGTAACTCCGAATCAGGCACTGCTGTTCAGTGCTCATACGAGGTGTCAGAAAAAGTAAGATTAGTCATCAGCGGTTCACAAGTGTTTATGAAATATGAGGGTAAAAAGGGCAGCACTGCAGTAAAAGATGAGGTAACTCACCTTCATTGGAAGTAGCCCTCATCTATTGTGTAGATGGGTTCTCCAACAGGCCCGGCAAGCCGAGTGCAACTACTCATCCAAACATCAACGCTACTGACCTCGGGTATCGTCACCCTTGGCCACAGCCCAGCCCATGGTGCAAACACGCACCTGTTTGGAGAAAAACAAAAGCCTAAAACAATCTGAACATTTATCGTACACTAATAAACAGCCAGAAGTTCAAGCAGCTTCATGAACCTCAGAGTGTAACTCCGAATCAGGCACTGCTGTTCAGTGCTCATACGAGGTGTCAGAAAAAGTAAGATTAGTCATCAGCGGTTCAGAAGTATTTTCTATGAAATATTAGGGTGAAAAAGGCAGCACTGCAATAAAAAAGGAGGAGGCAACTCACCTTCATGTGAAACAGCCCTCATTTGTGTAGACAGTCTCTCCAAGAGGCCCAGCAGGCTGAGTGCTAGTCATCCAAAGCCACGTGGTCCTTCAAGAGAGGTCCTAAAGAAGGAAAGTAAGACAGGAGCAAAAGAAGGTCAGGAAGACCTTTTAGATCATAAGTCAAAACCAAAACTGTCCATGGAGGCTTGAGTTAATCAGAATAGCCAGCACAAAGGCTAAAGCTAGTATGAGAGTAGAGAGACAGAACAGACGAGTAAAAGCATATTTTAGCCAATGAAGACAATAAAAAACGCCACAAGACCACAAAACGCTAATATTTATTAAGATAATTAAGATAATCGAGCTCCAGCTACAACAAGCGACGCGCACTCGAGGAAAACGCTCTAATAAAATCCATTGTGACGCAGGGAAAGCACGCGCGGCCACATCTGAAGTTCCTATAGTTACGGGCTATTGTGACGTACAAACTCAGCGAACTTCAAAGAACAACGGCAGTATAAAAGCACCAGAGCAGGTGACTGACCACTTACGCGGAGCAGAGGAGGTAGAAAGCCATGCTGAAGAGCTCTGCTGACCGCAGGTCACTCACACGTGGGCTACTTCTCTTCCAAGAGGACGGAAACCCTCGCGTGTTCACTTTTAATAGCCCTTCTTCGTCGTGGAGCCCAACACAGTAACATCTGCTCGCCGTCGCCACCAGCTGGGTTGGAGGTCTAGGCGTAAAGGGGACGTCCACCAATACATATTTTGAATAATTCAGCCCTTGAGATATAGAAACATGCTTATGCAGAGTGGATGTGAGATGCTTAATTGTAAAGACACTTACAAATGTCTTTACAGTGGTGGTGATAGGAACCAAGGGTCGCCATGACTACAACATAAATATAAACATTTTATTTACTATCCAAATATATATTTTTACATGTAATGATGATGGTTAAAGGTGGTAAATCTTAAGAAAGGCATTTTATTTGGGGCATATTTTGCCCTGCAACGCCCTACATGTACCCCTCCGCATGTACCCCCCTGAATGGATTCAAATAAGTGGATTAAAAAATATTTTGAGCCATATCACAAGATTATCATAAGATGTGTCAGATTTTAGGCAGCATATATCTAACCATTTCATGTACTAACTTTCTGTGAGGGTGCTTTTAGAGGTGGACGTCTGGTTCCTATCACCACCACTGTGAACAATTCTGACTCTGGAGTTTGTCTAGAACAGAGCATTTCACACCAAACCACTCTGAATGACTCTGTTTACATCTCATCCATCTAATTATGTAGAAATTTTGAAAAATCGGTGGAGTTGCCCTCTAAAGCGAACCGCAATTGCCCAAAATGTCCTACCATAGTGCATGTTTATAGGTGGTGCCCTACAAAAGACATAGGCCGGATTTTGATAGCCTAAATGATCTAATCGGAAAATACTACCAGCATTGAAATAATAATGAGAATATTTTGATAACCTAAATTTCCTTTTATCAAGGGGTGAATAGTAAAATTAAGATGACTTTCTACTGAATTAACATTATTGTTAATTCTTATACTGTTGCCTCACAGCAAGAAGGGCCTGGGTTTGATTCCCCGGCCGGGCGACCAGGGTCCTTTCTGTGTGGACTTTGCGTGTTCCCCCCATGTCTACACTGGTTTTCTTCCCACAGTCCAAAGACATGCAGTCAGGCTAATTGGAGATGCTAAATTCCCACTGGGTGTGAGTGTATGTGTTTCTGCCCTGTGATGGACTAGTGACCCGTCCAGGGTGTTTCCTGCCTTCAGCCCAATGAACGCTGGCACCCCCTGCAACCCAGGAGGATAAGCGGTTAAGATGATGATGAATGAATGAATGGAACAGGTAGATTCCATTGATGGTTTGGAGCTTCTTCCCTCAGAAAAGGGAAGAGAAACTTTGATTTCTTGGATTTTGGTGCACAAAAATGACCAAACATCAAATCAAAATAATGTGGCAAACATTTATTTATTAACTGAGTAACAAATAGAAGTAAGTTTAAAAATCCTGCTCTTTTCAGCCCCTTCTTGTCAGGAGCATGTTAACAGGAATGGCCACTATATAAGAGACATCGCCATCTAGTGTTCTGGCTTTGGAATTGAATGTAAACTGTGGCTTTAGAATAAGACTACCCCTATAAAATATTAATGTGTTTTTGCTGGTTATTCATACTTTTTCGGGTGTTTAGACCTAATTAATAAAAAGGGCAAAAATGAGCTGTTATATTTAAGAAACATAAATAAGTAATAAAGCTGACAGGTCCAGTTCTGACTGATGGAAAAAGACGAACAATGGTCAGTAACCAGCACCATCTGAGCTTTCGCAGCATAGATGAATGTGTGTTTACTATTAGGCAAACAACAGACCACTGTTTCCATTGTATCTGCTGTAACTGCTTATTAATGATTTTTAAGGTGTGTATAAAGTAATAACGTTAGTCTTATTCTAAAGTGCTACTCTTTCCTCTTTTGATAGTTGACCTACCTGGTTTCAGGCAAGAAAGAGTGCAACGCTAGTCCATCTGGGCTATCTAACAACATAAAATATGTTACTTTAAGAGATCAGTAACTAAACACTATAAAATGACCATATAGGAGTCATTTTTGTGTCATTTTGATTCTATGATATATTTTACTAGTAGTTCATCTTGGCTTATACATCAGTCCCAGATTAAGCCCAACTCTAAAATCTTAATCTTAATCTTAATCTGTCAGTTCATAGTGTAAGATGATTTTTGACAGGCTGTTTGACCTCACGTGAGGTCAAACAGAAAAATCTACCTGTTCCATTCATTCATTCATCATTATCTTAACCACTCCTCCTGGGTTGCAGGGGGTGCCAGAGCCTATCCCAGCACTCATTGGGCAGAAGGCAGGAAACATCCTGGACAGGTCGCCAGTCCATCACAGGGCAGAAACACATACACTCACAACTAGGGGCAATTTAGCATCTCTAGTTAGCTTGACTGCATGTCTTTTGACTGTGTTCTTTGGCACTCGGTTGGCTAACTGTGCTTTATAATTCTATGATATATAATTCAGTTTATAATTCTATGATATATTTTACTTGTAGTTCATCATGGCTTATACATCAGTCCCAGTCCAACTAAAATGTTGGGTGATTCATCTTTTGAACCGCAATGTAGCCCAAGACCGGAAAATCAGCTCTTAAATACTACAATGAGAACATTTCGTTTTACTTGAATACTTTCTATACTAAACAAGTTAATCTGTCAGTTCATAGTGTGAGCTGATTTTTGACAGGCTGGACTTAGTCTTACCCTAATAACCTTCATGAAAAATTGTTCATCTGTTTGGACACACTGGTTCCCTTTAATAAACTGGTCATCAAAATTAAATTAGAACGAATTAAGGGCAATTGGGACGTGAGGTCAAACAGGCCGGTCAAGCTATACAGGGTTTACTTTCTTGCCCGATGAGTGAAAATAAGACTTTTTTTTGCTGTGCCCTGGCTGTGAAACCCCCTAATCAACATTGCATGCTGTTTTCTTTTTATAGAACCATTAACACTCAAAGAATCCTTTGCATGATGAAGTGGTTCTTCAGATTGACGGAGAATGTGGCGTAGATGGTTCTATATAGAACCTTTTTGAAAAGGTCATGCAAATGTGGAGCCAATCAGCAGATATCTACACCATTAAGCCCCCCCACCTGAACAGTTCTTCGGCACTCAGTACGCTTAGCTAACTGTGCAGGGAAAACTGGGCTGAGCCCAGTTTTACACTAACGTTATTACTTTATACACACATTAAAAATTAATAAGCAGTTACAGCAGATACAAGGGGAACAGTGGTCTGTTGTTTGCCTAATAGTAAACACACATTCATCTATGCTGCGAAAGCTCAGATGTTGCTGGTTACTGATCATCATTTGTCTTTTCCATCAGTCAGAATTGAACCTGTCAGCTTTATAACTTATTTATGTTTATTAAATATAACAGCTCACTTTTGCCCTTCTTATTAATGTGTTTTAGCTGGTTATTCATGCTTTTTAGGGTGTTTATAACCTAATTAATAACCATTAATAAGCTAATTTTAAACCATTTTAAACCCTTTATAGGGGTACTCTTATTCTAAAGCCACAGTTTACATTCAATTCCAAAGCCAGAACACTAGATGGCGCTGTCTCGTATATAGTGGCCGTTCCTGTTAACATGCCCCTGACAAGAAGGGGCTGAAAAGAGCAGGATTTTTTTAAACTTACTTCTATTTGTTACTCAGTTAATAAATAAATGTTTGCCACATTATTTTGATTTGATGTTTGGTCATTTTTGTGCACCAAAATCCAAGAAATCAAAGTTTCTCTTCCCTTTTCTGAGGGAAGAAGCTCCAAACCATCAATGGAATCTGCCTGTTCCATTCATTCATTCATCATCGTCTTAACCGCTTATCCTCCTGGGTTGCAGGGGGTGCCAGAGCCTATCCCAGCGTTCATTAGGCAGAAGGCAGGAAACAACCTGGACAGGTCGCCAGTCCATCACAGGGCAGAAACACATACACTCACTCATACATACACTCATTTAGCATCTCCAATTAGCCCAAATGTCTTTGGGCGTAGTACCTGCCTGCATGCACAATATTGAGTAGCAGTGTTGCCAGATTGGGCAGGTTCCTGCCAAATTTGGTGGATTTTGGTTAGATTGGTGGGAGCTTTGGTGGGAAAAATGCTTTGGCGGATGGACAAAATTTGGGCTGGTGTGTCATTATTTTGGTATCTAAGATAAATGAACTGCATTACCTAATAATGCTGCTGGAATCTGAATAGGTCTAACTTCTCCACACATCCAATCAGTTATCATTTGCAATGGACATCACTGCTTAAGGTACCCAGTTTATTATTGATGTAATGGATGTACATGGCATTATACTGACTCAAAATTCTGCAAAAGTAGGACATTAGAATGGCCCATCTATTCAGCACATTAAAAATGTATATACTTCCAATATTATTGCTATTCATTTGCCTTTCTGTTTGCATGAGATGTTTCATATACAGCATTCAGAAAAATGCTCTGAAAATACTGATGTGTTTGTGTGAGCTCTGCAAATTATACGATTATAAGAAATAAGATACACATACAAATCAAATAATTGAATCACTTTATTTAAATTATTTGTAGTTGTTTTTTTTTTTGTTTTGGTCCAAGTTTCATAGATGTTTGATAGGGATGGTAAAAATTGCATAAAATCTTTTGGTTCTTACAGTATCTGTTTAAAAGACTGACAGTGCCATCTGCCGACACATTGATGTAATAATAAGCTTGAGTATGTTCACCGCTGATGCCTTGAAAGATGGTCAAAAAGCTGTATTTGTTTGGCAAACACAGTTTATATTTTAATGTTATGGTTAAATTGATCTAAATTGATACATACAGGAGAAGAAACAAGCATACTTTACTTTTAATGTAAGTCAATGGAACCAGATTTTTTCATTTTGGGTCATTTTGGGCTGTTTCTTTTGGTCCATTCATCATGAACTTCATCAAATTATGTCAAAAACTGGAAAACAAAAATGGAGATATATATATTGCTGTTGTTGGAAGAAAACCTTGTATCTCCATTTTGACATTTTTCAGTTTTTGACATTATTTGAAAATGCCTGTTTCTTTTTACATTGTATGTAAAATTCA